AAGGAGAACAGCCACATGTAAACACTCCTTACAGAAATCTAATGTACCCCAATCAAACCATAGTTTTCATTTAAGCACGACTATTTCCCAGCTGTTCTCTGGCTAACTTTATCCATCTGATTAAAGCTAACATGGACATAAGGCCAGTTCATTCCAACTTCTGGCGTTAGTGGTTCGGGAAATTAAGGCTGAAACCCTACGTGACTCGAAACGACAACTAGCCAGAAATCAAATCTGGTCGTAGTGGTAAATGTTTTCTACTATGTGAACAATACAGGAAACCATGATTCAAGCAAACATACGCGAGGCTATGGATGTTCATGATATAATTTGCAGGCAACACTCTTAGCATTATAGGATTCAACCTTCTCACACATGACGAGTAATACTAGAAATACAATAAAAAGGCAATATATTGTGATGATTTGGAAAAATACGAAATGGGCAAGTAATTCTAACCATAACAAACTCCACAAAGGCAATGCGAGTATTATGCTGGTAGTCCCCAAGCAACCTCAGCCGATAGACCTGTCAGGGAGATATTGCAATGAGTGAATGAGCATGTCCCTTGAACTGCATTTTGATTGCAGCACAGCATATATGGAATAAATTATGACAAGGAAAGGAAGTTTGAAGTGACATGTCACCAACCTCTCCACATATTGACTCGAAGAACAGTTTCACATCTGCCTGAGAGACCTGCACCAAGTGCATCAAATAAAATAGAAACATCGGTGCAAAGAGTATAGAGATACAGAGTGCAACGGTAGGCTAGCAAACCTTCTTGTCAATGTTTGTGCAGTAGATGGTCCTTGCACACATCTCACGCTCATCATCAGACTGAAGATAAAGACGAGGCACTTTTTAGACATCAGGCGTACATCCATATAGATAAGTATGAACAGCGATACATAGACAAATATGTGGATTCCAAAACTGTAGCTTACCCTGGGCAGGAACGTTGGATTGACTGGTGCAATTGCAGTTTTTGATGGCAGAACCCTCACAGGATAATATCCGAGCACAGTTCCTGACAGATTTAGAGCAGCCCTTGCACCCTCTGCAATAGTACAGTATATTAATCAATGGACAAATTGACCTAAGCATGTTCAATTATCATTCAACCACTTACCCTCATCAGTAAACTCTATGAAAGCAAAACGAAGAACTGAATTTGGATCCCCACACATGCGGCAGTCCACAACCTTCACAAAAAAAATCAGATTATTCAGTGCTCTCAAAAAGTAAATGTAAACAAAAAACAAAAAGTGTACCTGCCCTACGTTGATAAATAGTGCTGCCAGTTGCTCTTCGGTGACCTAAATGTGAGGAAACATATAACGAATTAGCCTACATATAATTGCAGGTGTGCAACTAGAGGATATAAGACTTGAAAAATGGCTGACACAATGTAACAGTGATAGATAACTAACTGCAAAGGCAACACAAATGAACTCAACAAACTCCACAAGTTAGGCGTAGAAACTTAATCAAATATACAAAGTATCACAGCAGCCAAGTCACAAACAAATAAGTGAATAACTAATTGTGAAGTGTCCAATAGACAAAATTAAACCTATCACCAACAAACCAACATAACATTACAGAGTACATGAGGAAAGACAGATGCAAAAATTATAAAAAAGACACCATATGGGAATAAACATCAGAGGACCAAGTGCAGAAAGTTTAGAGGTTTTCAAAAGAACTCTTGCCAGTGGATACATATGGATGTGTTCTACATAACTGTAGAAAATTATTAAATAATATTACCGCTGTTCTAAAATATAGACGTTTAAGCCTACCAAAACAAACTTATATTTTGGAACGGAGGTAGTACATTAATTTGTAGGCTACACAAAAGAAGACATATTTGTGGCTCCAAAAAAGCAAAGGTTACTCTATTTTGATCTACACATTTCTCTTTTTTGTGTACACCATAACTGAGAAGATATATTGATAAAATTTGTGCATAAATGCTACACGTCTATATGTACATGTATAACTCCACTCCATTAGAACCTTTTGTGGATTCAAGAAACTTTTTTTCTTTCCAAAAAGAGCTCAGTGTAGGGTATGTAATCAAAGGAAAAATGCTCTCAAAGAGCTCTCAAAGAGCCAAAACACTCTTTTAAGGCTGTGTTTGGCATTGCGGTGGATTATCACAATCCTGTTTGCCTCACCTGCTTTAGGCTATTTTTGTGTCTCTCTGACCCGCTTTTGCATATCTTTCTGGCTAATTTCCAACAGCAGATTATAAGGGAAGCAAACGCAACACAGTTGGCAACCACAAACTGACCTAACTCGCCTCATTCTCATAGCGCTGCCAAAAATGAGCTTGCTAAAATACCACGTAATAGTTGCAACATTATGATCCGTCCAGTATTCGAGTAAAATACATGTCAGATATGTTATCACCCTACCAAAACCACTCATCTATTCAACAGAAAATGCGGGTGATGAATCAGAATTGATCTATCAGATAAACCCTCTGGTGGACTACGAATTCCTTTTCCTTCTAAGAAGTTTCTGTATACAAGAAATTTTATTTTATTTCATATAATCATATGCCATCCCATATCTCACTATTAGGCCTGAAGGATCTTCGTGGAGCAGACAAGCAGGCGCTGCCTCCAAACAGTAGCAATCTGCTACATGCACGAGGATTTCTGGAGATCTTTGAATTTTTGAGAAAATTGGAATATTTCTGCAGAACTGCAGCCAAAAGTTCACTAGTCGGCATGTACAGAGGTAGAAAGTTCACTATCACACAAGGCAAAACCAGTGAACATGTCTAGTACATGTCTTAACATGAAAAAAACATGAACACGGCTATTACGAGGTAGAAAGTACGTACTATGTTGTCTGAATAAAGAAAAAAAAAGGTGCATTTTCCAAATGACTACGCTTGACCCAAAAACGTAACCACCATTATGAGAATATATAGCCAGTGAACTCTTCAGTGCATAACTTACGCACACTACTACTACAATTACAAGGTACTCCCTCTGATCCATATTAATTGTCGCTGATTTAGTACTCATTAAACCAGCGACGAGTAATATGGATCGGAGTACTAAATCAGCGACAATTCATATGGATTGGAGGGAGTAGAAAATTATATGTAAACACTAAGTTACAAGAAACAAGGTGCTTCTTTTCATTGTGGAACAGAGGCACGCCAAAAAGTAAAGATGGTGTGCCTCTTACTTCACAAACAGTATGCATGTCTCTTACAAACATGGCAACTGTATTGTTCTAGAGAATACCTCTTCTAGAAAAAGGTTTCTGAATCCTGGAAACGATACATATATCTAACTGGCATTAATCAACATGCACTAGAACAACTGAGCTCACAAGTAAACCATATCAGCCACCTAGAAGCTTAAATCTTTCTAAGTGCAAATCCCAATCAAGTGTGTACATGTTGCATTTCAACATGTAAATATGAGAAGCATCATGATAACTATGATCTTAAGCATAGATGTAAACAAGATTAAGACTTTTTTGAGAAAGAAATTAGAATAGCATACCAGAACCAAAAAAGACAAAGTACCATCGTGAGCTAATAAGTCAACAAGCATACACAAGGCATCTACTCCCTCCGTTTCTAAATATAACACTTTTTAGATATTTCGATACGGACTACATACGGATGTATATAGACATACTCCCTCCGTCCCAAAATTCTTGTCTTAGATTTGTCTAGATACGGATGTATCTAGTTACATTTTAGTGTTAGATACATCCGTATCTAGACAAATCTAAGACAAGAATTTTGGGACGGAGGGAGTATTTTAGAGTGTAGATTCACTCATTTTGCTCCGTATGTAGTCCATATTGGAATCTCTAAAAGGGTTATATTTAGGAACCAAGGGAGTATCAAATACATCAAAGTAACTTTGCATACCCCTAAAAAAACACCCCTAAAAAAATCAAAGTAACTTTGCATGCCCATTATTGAGATTCATTAAAGCTGGCCCCATCTGTGTTCCACCAGACAGTAAATCTGCATGTATCCACTCTCAAATCTAGCTTTCTTGCATGAATACAGGAATAGGCCTGAGACGTCATTTGTACCAAGCAGTATATAATAGGGCATGGTTTGAATTATTACTGTTCCTTCCAATGATCACTCCATCAAAGGAACATTAAAGCAAGGATCTTAAATAAGGCACTTGCAGGAATACACTGCCCAGGTCTTCCTAAACAGAAATGAATACACACCTACTAGATAAACTGCTACAAGGAACATCAAGGCAATGGCCCATAACGAACACACTACCAGGAATACACTACCTAGGTCTTTCAGAAAAAAGAAGGAACAGACTGCCTACTCAATGAACTGCTAAAGGAGCACGAAAGCAGGGCTCATTAATAAGATACTTCCAGGAATGCACTGCATAGACTAATCCAACAAGAAATCTAATAGCAAACCGATACAGATGGTGCATGCATCAAACCAACCAGACATGCCACGAATAGTCAGTAGAGGTGCATACACTACGTGAAGAAATCAGGAGAATAACCACCCAAAATCGGATAAGAACACAGTAGATGAGTACAGGTTAGCTGCACGTCGCCCAAGCACATAAATGGCAAAATAGTCATGCGACTTTCTAGACTCTATACAAAAGTAATGACCAAGAACTGCAAAACTTACCACAGTGAGAAGTGGCATCCAAATCTATCGAAACAAGAAAAGGATGATCAAAAGGAGCAACCGCTGGCGTATCCAGTATCCACCTGCTCTCAGCCCCATCCCATCTTATGATCTCAACCCTGCTAACGTTTTATCCCATCTGAACAGCACGTGCCCGGCAGAAGTCACACAAGCCGAAATCTAGCTGACCGATCATGACAACCAGTAATAGGAACATAGAAAAATGATACCAAACCAATAAACAGGTGAACAAACTCTGTGCGGTTGCGGAGGTAACGTGAATGTCAGAGTCTAATAAGGGACGGGGGCGAAGGAGGCTCGTCACAGGCAGAATCAACAGTGGAAGGTGCGGGCATGGATCCGTGAGCTGACCTGATGATCGATGTCGGAGACGTAGACCGTCCGGCGGATCACCTCGTCGCGCTGCGCCTGGCTGGTGCGGCTGTTGACCCGCCGCTTGCCGCCGTGGGGGTAGCCGCCGCCGTACCCTCCGAACTTCTTCTGCGCGCAGGAAGGAGCAGATCAGACGAGCACCGGCGACAGAAAGAAACAGAGAGGCCGAACGGCAACACCCCGCGATCGAAAAGGTCAACACAAGGACTCTCGTGTCTCCTTACCCTGCCGCGGCCGTCGGCGGCGGGGAAGCCGACGACCCCGCGGTGGCCCGGCGAGGCGACCGGCGCGAAGCCGGCAGCGGGTGGGCCGTTGGGGTAGTAGCCGGCGTAGGGAGGCGGCGGCATGGGGTGCGCGGCGAGCGAAGGCGGGACGAACTCCTCCGCCATGGGGTTGAGCTTGGAGAGGAGCTCCTCCAGATCCCGCATCTCGCGCTCCCCCGCGTCGCCCCCCTCCGACGAGGCGCGGTACGGCGCGGCGCCGTGGTCGGAGGCGGCGGGGGCGACGTGGTCGGCGGAGGTCTCGACTACGGCCATCCCGAAGGGAAGGAAGAAGCTGCTGCCGGAGGGGGAGAGAGCTCGGTGAGGTTCTGGAAGGTTCGGGGGCGGGAGGCGCGCGGGGGTG